AATAGATAACCGTTGTGAATTTGTGATCAGAAATAACGGTATATGAGACAATAAGACTACCATTTTTTATTACGATTGAATTAATTACCATCACCTTTATGATTGGGGTAACTACTACAATAGTATTAGTGTATTATTATTACCCCTTTCTGCTTGCTAGTCCATGTTTTTCGAGAGAGGTTCGCAGTTTGAGGCCCAATACACGAAATACAAACATATTTAACTCCTAACAGTAATTTATATTTTAAAAATCATCTTAAAGCCTATAACCAAAAGACCAACACATAGCAGGGACAAGGCCCAATTATTTAGGCAATAGTCGCAATGCCATATTCAAAATGATGATTACTTTACTCAAGTATTTTTGAAGTACATTTTGTATCAGGTGGATGAAAAATTTATATAAGATTTTTAGTATTCGATCAGATACAAAATTTACTTCAAAATCTTATACTGGATATTCTATATTTTTCTTTGGATCGGGTCAAAACATATCCAAAATTTTGAACCGGCTATTTCATATTTAAAAATATAGATATTTAAAAATTTGGTTAAGATTTAAATTACGATTCTCTTATCATTTTTGTTTGAATTTTCTTTTAACTATTTTGAATCATCTTGTAATACATAAAATTAAAAATCTCAATTATTTTTTCTGCATATATTATTTTTCAAAATTTTAAAAACGGATATATATTACCAATTGATTAAAAAGGTGTGTATTCAACGTCCCATATTGGCTAAAAATATTTTAACAATGATTCACAACCATATTATAAATAAGATCAAAATGAATTCAAATCCGAATGAATAGGAAGCTTAACTTAACAAACATCCAAATTTAAAAGTTTGTAAACCATTTAATTTGGTTTTTAGTTTAACTGCTTCATTTTACCGGAAATATTTAATTTTAGACTTTTAAAAAGTTTTAAATAATATAATTCATATATTTTTTTTTAAAAATATAATATTTTGAACATTTGAACATATATAAAGAGTTACAATAACATGGAACGAGTTATATTGCGAGACGAGATGATATGGCATTAAGTTTTTAAGAAGTTTTAAATATTATAATATATATATATATATTTAAAATCAATAAAAAATTATAATATTAAGAACATTTGAACATATATAAAGAGTTAAAATAACATGGAACAGTTATATTGCAGAACATGACGGAACGGATTTGAATTAAAAAAATTTAAACATCACTAACCTGCTGCTTCAATACGGGTTAAATTTTTATTTTATTATTTTTTAACACCATCAATATTAGACATATTAAATGATCCTGATTAAAATAAAATTATATAAAACAGAAATTCTTCCTTGGTATACCGTTATTTAATAGATTTTTTTTTTTTTTGTCAAACAAGCATTCATTCACTTAAAACCTCAAAAGAGGGAAGTTCATACAAGCTGTAGCTAAGGAAATGCAATAGGAATAAAGATAAAGGCTCCATGAGTTTTCCAAAATGATGCTCATCTTAAAAAGGTTTGAAGAATCTTTTGAGGACATAGCGGATTCGACCATGAAGACGGGCTTCGCGAAATCCTCGACCAACGGATGGTCATAGACGGCTCGCGCGAATAACGCAAACGAGCTTTTGAGAAAATGCTCCACGGAGGAGGCTGTCGGGTAAAAGAGGTTGGAGAAGCTTTGGTAACCACCTCTCCTCGGAGACGGGGTCATAATGCCATTCTTCTTCAAGCTATTAAATGTTTGAGTATTGTACCGTTATTTAATAGATAAATTGTTAAAAATGTCCCTTTTTCAATACCCCTTTTCAAAAATGCCCATTTTGAGAGTCCATTTTTAAGTTTGCCCTCTTTTAATTTTTAATGACCATTTTACCTTTATTTGAAACAAAATTAGTTCCACAAAATACAAAATATTTTTTGGCGGGAAAAGTGATCCCGCAATTTTCCCGCCAAAACACTTGTAAAAACTAAAACCTTTAAAATACCTTGTAAAATTTTCCCGTAAAAATTTTTCCCGCCAAAAATTTTTCCTGCCAAAAAAAAAATTTTTGCGGGAAAAGTGATTACGAAAATTTTTTTGGCGAAATTTTTTTGGCGGGAAAAATTTACAAGGTATTTTAAAGGTTTTACAGAGTATTTACAAATGTTTTGTAAGGTTTTACAATGTATTTTAAAAGGTTTTACAAGGTACTTATAAGGTTTTACAAGGTACTTATAAGGTTTTATAAGGTATTTATAACTTGTAAGACCTTATAAAAAACTTGTAAAGCCTTATAATTTGTAAAACCTTATAAAATAGCTTATAAAATCTTATAATATCTTATAAATACCATATAAATACGTTGTAAAACCTTTTAAAATACATTGTAAAACCTTATAAATACCCTGTAAAAAACCTTTAAAATATCTTGTAAATTTTTTCCGCCAAAAATTTAACGCCAAAAAAATTGCGGAATCACTTTTTCCGCAAAAAAAAAAATTTTGCCGGGAAAAATTTTTACGGGAAAATTTTACAAGGTATTTTAAAGGTTTTACAAGTTTTTACAAAATCAAATTTGTAATTTTGATGTGTGCACATTCTCATGTTTCCTTTTATATTTGTGATATCTTTTATTAAAAGAAGAGTAATTTAGTCATTTTGTACATAAAAAAAGGGGTATTTTTGAAAAAGGACAGCCAAAAGGAGCATTTTTTAAAAGGTGTATTGAAAAAGGAGCATTTTTGTGAGTCTTCCAATTTAATATTTGTAAATTATAAAATATAAATATCTTATAAAATAATACAATTTGTAACTTTTATATATAATATATAACCAATAAATTTAAAAAATTATTAATTTTAAAAACAATTCGTCACGCGGTATAACGCGAGTTAAAATCTAATTTGATTATGTGAAAACCCAACTATAGAAACATGTTTGAGGTTGGTTCGAACAAATAAATTGTAGTTCGGATTAATATTTCTTAATTGAATATGATTGTGTGTTAGCGTTTTAATTATCATGGTGAAGCCCTCCAGTTCAAAATGATTTAACAATGAATCAGTCTACATGTCTTTTATATAATTCTGATCTCATCTTATTTCCCAATATAAAATTTGCAACAGTTTGAAAAAGGGATAAAGATGGATGCGGGCCGAAACAATGTGTAAACGTGTTTCAAATATCTCTGTTGATTAAAGAAAACTCCAAATCCTAATTTTCCTCGACCAATTGTTACATATATACACATACAAAAATAGTAAAGAACACACACACAATGCAGATAATTCTCTTCGATATTTCCAACAACGTTTTTTGGTTAACTATTTCCAATAAGTACATATATACACATACAAAAATAGTAAATATATAACTTATTTTTTGGGAAAATCCTAGTAAAAACTCTCAAAGTAACACCAACTTCCAGTTTAAACCTTAAGGGTTTTGCACTTCCACTTTAATACCTCAAAGTGACTACACTAGCAACATAATACTCCAAAGTAGCTTCTATGTTCGTGGGCTACAACATTTAACGGAACGAAAACTTTCATTAACGGAACAGTTAACAACAGTGACCTTGTTCGATTTATTGGCTATGTGTGGCTGATTTTTTTTAAATTAAAAATGGACAATTAAAATAATAGAAATAATAAAAACAGAATAATAATTAAAAGGTAAAATCCCCAAATCGTTGGGTCTAGGTTTTATGAGAAAAAAAAAGAACAAGAGAGAGATAGACGTGAGTGAAGGAAGGAGAACCGGAGGTCGTCATAGTGTCCATTGCCCATTGGAGTTAAAATGGGGTAAGAATCTTTGGAATACAATCGATTGGAGCTGATTTTAGATTATTCCTATTAATATATATATAAAGTCACGTTTCATAAAAAAAATAATCAGAAAGACAGATTAATGAAACGGAGTTTAATGTTGTTAAGTGTTCTGTTAATGGATTCAAAATTTTTGTTAAATTTTGTGGGCCCACAAACATAGAAGATACTTTGGGGTATTATGTTGCTAATAATGTTGTCACTTTGAGGTATTAAAGTGGATGTGCAAAACTTTCAAGGTTTAAAGTGGCAAGTAGAGTCACTTTGAGTATTTTTTATGGGATCTTCCCTTTTTTTTGTTATAGTAGTAAATATATAACTAGTTACTACAAAATAGATTTCCTTAAATATATGGTTGATCTGATCACAGTATATTATCTAGTAATTTATTTTAGTTTGGAGTGGTACTTGTACATTAAAACAAAAACAAAAACACTCCCTCTAGACTTCTATACATGTTCAATAAAAATTATGTAGAGGAGGTTGGACTGCCGCAATTTAAAAAATTAAAAACCCTAAAAGTCAGAACTACAGTTTGAACATAATATAAAGAATATGTACGCAAACTTTAATAATAGTAATTACAGAGAGTTTGGCAGGCCTAGTAACGTGAATCATAGCACAACTAATTAATTCCCTTATTTATTTCTGTTATAATTCTTCGCCTAATTCTTTTTTTCTTAATTCCGTTCGTAAGCATGAACATGTTCCACCAATTAGTTCTTAAGTTACTGTTTTTGGGGCAGACGATCTATTTCCCCCCAATAACTATGACATCAAACCAGATAAAGCCCGATCTATGACTCCGTTCTATATATCCCCGAATCAAACTTTCTAATCCTATACCTCCCCGAATTAAAAGTTCAAAATCCCGATGTCCCTGATATAATAGTTCGAGATCTTGTTTTCCACAGAGCTGGCTTACGACGGTTTACTGTTTTCTTAACCGGTTAATAAACCTACTAAACCTAATTATACTCGACTTAACCAAGATTTAGACCCGATTACAGTCTACCCAAACATTACCAAATCGAAACTCTAAAAACTAAATTCCCAAATCGAAACAGACGACGAACCCTAGGAAAACAGAGAGAAAGTGAGAGAATCGAAGCTTGGTAGCTGTAGGATCTTGAAATCGAAGCTTTCGATGTCTATGGTCGTTCCTAATCCGGATTTAGTAGGAGATGTATCCATGTGTCTTTTTCTTTTTAGGTATGTGAACTTGTGTTTTGTTCGGCTTTATTTGGTTGTAACTTGACTTATGCTTGATTTATGGAAACGTTAGCTTCACTTGTTTTGTGTCTTGAATCAAAGAGAAAAGAGAAACATGATACATTAACACAAACATCATACATTATACCACAGATTTGGTCTTAAGCATAAATCAAAAGTACAAAATCAAACCAAGAAACATCATTAACACACCAAGAACATCATTCTCTAAGTTAACCTAGTAGTTTGCTGCATCCAATCATGATCATACACCCTATCAGTACAACAATCAGAATCTTCTTATTTCTTGCATTGGATTCAGCCAAAGCATCTTCAACCTTCTCAAGTAACTCGTTCTCCATCTTCATTAGAACCTTCTCGCAAACCATCTTTTCAAACTCCAAACTCTCTGTTCTAAGCTCTTTTAGCTGCTGCTCAAGTCCAGCATTCTTTGATGTCAATGTCTCTATCTCGTTGACCAAAGCTTCATCAACCCATTTGAATGTGTGTTCATCGTTCCTTAGCTACAAAAAATTTCAAGCTTTGATTATCCGAATCATAATCAGGAAAAACAAAGGATAAAAGCTTGAAATTACCCTATTTGCTGCAGCAAAACCACACCGAAAGTATCTCCGGTAAGGATTGGGATCAGATTTGGATGTTAGTGCCACGATTGCTTCCCCACACCAACATCTCTTTGGCACACCGACAACTCTTCCTCTTCCACGAACACTTGAAGATCCTGTCGAATTGGTTGATACATTGCTCATCTTGAAACTCGATTTGGTTTTTAAAATCAAAATTTGGGGATTTTGAGAATTTAGGGTTCTTAGAAAACGAATTTTGGGGATTTTGAGAAAACTACTTCTGGGTCGGGTTTTGTAATAGAGTTGGGTTGTTTTCCCGGTTTGTTCTTGGGAAGAAATGGTTTGGTCTCGGGTTTACGACGCAAACCGAAGTAATCTAGACGCGGGGACATCGGGATTTTGAACTTTTAATTCGAGGAGGTATAGGATTAGAAAGTTTGATTCGGAGATATATAGAACGGAGTCATAGATCGGGCTTTATCTGGCTTGATATCATAGTTATTGGGGGGAAATAGATCGTCAGCCCCTGTTTTTGGAGATGAAGTTCCAAAAATATGATTGTTTACTCTCTACTATGAGGTTTTTAGATCATTAGCATTTTTTGTCGTTTGTAATATTCAGGAACTATTTAAAATCAGCAACAACTTTTTTTAACAAACTTTGATGCTAGGTAATCAGCTAATACTCCAGCGAACCAACAAGTGAGTATATAGAGTATCAAACTTTTGTTTCAATAGAAAAAGCATTTAAAAAAATTAGTCCAAGTTTACTTTAAAAATTCTGTGAATTCTACCGATCCAACATAAATGGTTTTTTTTTTTATCACTCATCCTCTCTCTAATTTCAGTGAAAACTAATGTAAGTACTAAGTAGTGTCAGATGACTCTAAATTTTGATTTTGATTGGTTTCTATCCAAAATCTTATTCTCTCAAATTTACGTCTCTATACCGATTTGACAGTAGTCTTTTGTTTTTTTCTTCTACATATTTGACATTAATCTCATAATTTAACTGCTTTTTTTTTTTACAAAATTATAAGAAAAGTACAATCAAAGTTCCCTCTAATATAACCTTTGTTTGAAAAATCGCTAGGCGCTAGTCGGCGCTCGGTATGGGCCTAGCGATTAATTAAAAAATCGGAGATTAACCGAAAATTAGTTTTAGGGTTATTTTAATATTTTGAAAACATATTAATTTAATATTATTTTCATAATTGCAGTAAACACGTAAAACTGTATTTTTGAGACAAATTTTTATGATTTTTATTATAAATTTATGATTTTTATTGAAGTTTGAACATAAATTATTGTAAATCATCACAAACTCCCAATATAAATGATTGAATAACAAATAAAAAAAGTTTTTTTTATACTTGGAATCTTAAAGTAATTGGGATATGTAAGATTAGGCGGAGAGTAATCAGATTAGGCGGAGAGTAATCGGGTAACTGATTTTCTTAAGGGATTAGTCATTAATCGAGGCAGTTTGGGTGGGTCTAGCGATTAAGTGGGGAGTAATCGGGGTAGACGGAAATTTTTAAAATAGGGAATATAACAAATGAACTCTCACTTCTCAACGTTCCACTCTTGACCAATCAATGTGAAAATACAAATAAAATCGACATCGATTACATATACATAAAAATGACAACCATTTTTATTCAGCTAACTACATTGCAATTAAACCTATAAAATTAAATATCCCAGAAAAATTAAATAGAGAAAAAGAGGAATTCTCAAAGGGTAGAGAGTAGTAAACTTTTTTTTTAAAAAAGGAATTACAAATCGAATCATACCTTTTTTTTTGATCTTTCAATAACAAGTATAGAGAGTCTTTGATATGATGATTTATTGATTACCGTTGAGAAACTAAAACAAAAACGCCGTGCGTACAACGCTTCCCATGTGAGCGACAACAAATATCCAATAAAATATCACCACGTGTCAAAAGATCTCAACTTGTGACCCCACTACGCTACTCCGGTGACGAAACACCACCGAACACTCCGGCAACTCGCCGAGATCGGCGAACAAAGACTCATCTTCCTCTCCCAGCGGAAAGAACACTGCCACATCATCTGCCGCCGAGGCAGCCGTCTTTTTCTCCGACGAAAAAATCGGGCTCTCAAGAATGGTCGAAGATGTTGTCTCCATCTCCGTAAACCACGCGAACTCGTCGACGCAAGACGGCGTTGTTTCAATCTCCCTTCCAAGAACCATAAACTTGTTATCCTCTTCCTCGGCCTCTGGCTCTACCTCAGGCTCGGGTTCAGGTTTGGGCTCGGGTTTGGGTTTAGGCCCGTTTCTTGTGGAAGAAGTGATAGGCCAAGGATGGTTATGCTCAGAAGTGTAAGTGATGAGGATCATCGTTGGATCATCTCTGCTTCTCTCGACTTGCTTCCTCGCCGGACAACCTTTTGTGCTACTACAACGGTAATAACCTCTAGGGTAAGGAGATCCCTTAATGGGCTTTTGGCCGTACTTACGCCAAGCCCATGAATCTGACGGCGGAGTTGTGTCACCTTTGTGCCGAGATCCTTCCATTTCTTTCATCGGTACGTTCACTACTCTCTTCTCTATGGATCTCCTGCTGTAATTTAACAAGTACACAAACATATGAATATACTTTAGTCAAATGGTAAGTTTTCATGAAAATTTGATTCATAGATTATCTTTATGTTTATTTACCTTCTTTTAGGTGAATGAGAAGAGATAAGAGCTTTCATGTCGTTGAAGGTTGAAGAATTTGGTGATTCGGGTCCGGTTTCTTGACTGCTTTCATGATCATTGTAGTTTCTCGCCATCTCTAGACCTCGCTTCATGTTTTATATATATGCACTATAGACTATAGACTATAGACTATAGTTATATATATTTACAAGAAATTAAGCGAGGAAAGAAGGGTCGGATCAAGAATCGGATATGTCGTTGATGGTGATCACTTTTGGAAATATATGAGTTGCAGATGGAGAAAGAGGAGTAGAAGTAGAGAGAGATATGAGAGAAAGAGAAAATGGAGAGAAGGTGGAGAAGAAGAGGGGTTGTGTATGAAAGAGGACGTGCGAGCATATGTCAATTTAATCTCTACTTGTTTTAAAATAATACTTTATATCCTTATCATTTAAGAGAGGGACCTCGATTGATTACTATTTTAATAGATAATTATTTTTCTATAAGGCGATGGTTACATATGATCACACCCCTTGTTTGAAAAATCGCTAGGCGCTAGTCGGGCGCTCGGCATGGGCCTAGCGATTAATCGGAAAATCGGATTAAAATCGGGGATTAACCGGGGATTAGTTTTAGGGTTATTTTAATATTTTTAAAATATATTAATCCAATATTGTAAAAATTTATGATTTTTATTACAAATTTATGATTTTTATTAAAATTTGAACACAAGTTATTGTAAAACATCACAAACTCCCTATTCAAATGATTGAATAACAAAAATGAAAGGTTTTTTTATACTTGCAATCTAAAAAATAATCGGGGTATATAAGATTAGGTGGAAAATAATCGGATTAGGTGGGAAGTAATCGGATTAGGCGGAGAATAATCGGGTTACTGATTTTTTAGGGGATTAGTCATTAATCGAGGCGGATAGGGTGGACTTAGCGATTAAGCGGAGAGTAATCGGAGGTAGGCGGGGATTTTTAGAACAGGGATCACACCCTTTGTTTACAATACAATAATTTTATTGCGTTGTTTGAATAGATGGGGTTAGGTATTAATTAGTATACACTTGTTTGTTTTTTTGTCTTTATCCACCATTGTTCAAGCCCCTTTTTTTCTTCCTCACAATGTAATTAAATTATTGGAAGATGATTAGGTAATGTATTGGGTGGTGTAGTGCGTGTGAACAAGGAAATGCATGGTAACATATGTGATCAAACTTTTTCATTCGTTTAATTATAGATCTCATCTAAAGTTTATTTCTATCTTTTTGAAGAACTTTTCCATGCACAAAAAGTTTATTAGTGTCTCATCCCATGAAACTCAAATTAGGTCTTCCACTAAACTCAGATTAACATATAAATATTCTAATAAAGCAAAATTTCAAAAATTAAATTTAGTTTTTAATAATCAATTATTGAAATATGTAATGATGTCATCTTCTTCATCACATTTACCCATTTGAATGGGTTATACATTTCTGAGCTATTAATAAATTCTAGATATAAAGTTTATGATTCTCTTAATATCTTGTTTTGTGTATAAGCTATCACATTAAGTTGCATGTACTACTGTAATTAACATCTATGATGTATAATGAAAAGGGGATATCTATATATACATTTTTGAATGACTTTTAGCAAATAAATCCTGGAGTTAGACCTTATTTACGGATGAATGCCATTGGCATTAATTATTTAAATTTGAAAAATATTAATTAAAGATATTACCAATACGATTTCGAGAATCATAAATTCATATCTTCCTTAATTTTCTGAGTCATTAATGTGATAATCTTTAGGAAATATTTTTCTGTAAAAAAAAAAATCCACATTAATGAAGGCATTAAAATCGACACTAACAATTAAATTATTTAGATGTTCAATTATTTTAAGATTCTTATATCTTATTTGATATTTTTTTTTTAATATCTCATTCTTTAATTACTGCGTTTAGAATTTATTGGTTGTTACCTATTTTTTGGTGAAATTTATTGGTTGTTACTTAATAAGTAATTATGGTGCGTTTATTTTAGTTAATATCTAATTTAAAGGATTTGTTTTCTTTTATTATTAATAAATGAATAACATGTATAGAAATAAAAGATTTTTTTTGCGACTCCATAATAAAAATATTAAACTCTTATTTTCTACATTTCTTACACATAATATCCTCTTATTCAATAACAAAAAATATATATTACATATTTTTAAAAATATTTATAATATTTAAATTATATAAAAAATTTGTAATATTAATATTATTTCAACTCTATACAAATTTAATATATATGTATATATATCTTATGGGAACCATTTAAAAGAAATTTTTAAATTGACTTGAATTATATAGCTTTTAAATAAAAGTATTATTAAAAAGAAAAATAACTAAATAATGTTTAATTTCACGGGACGGGTAATATGATGGGACGGGTTTGGGTTGATATTTATAAAAGATCGTATACCACGGGTGAAATCCTAAAATTAACAATCAAAATAATCTATCAAACAAATTACATTTTGATTTTTTTAAGAAAATATAGCTCCGCGGTGTACCGCGGGTTAAAATCTAGTTATTGTTAAAAGAGCTATCACTTATCTCATGCATATAGATGCACTTCCACTTTATGGAAATATGGCAATCTTGTATTAGCCTATATATGTATGCATGTTGTATGTATATATATACTTAATTTGTGTACAAAGCAATCCCAAACACTCTGAATAAGTTGCACTCCAAAGTGCGAGCCGAAACTATAAATATTAAATCAAAATTTCTTATGACCTTTTCCTTCACCAAAAGCAACATCATAATTTGTCAGCTGATGACACCCATATAAATATAGTTATCATGTTGAATTTAATAATAAATCTTGTTTCTAATCAAAGAGATAATCTTCTTTATTAATGATGATTATCGTTTACTGATCAGAGTTTACCCTTTCTTCAATCTATCATTTCTCTCTGATCTCAATTTAGAGACAATAAAAATGGAATATACGGACAGTACTGTTATATATATAACATCCATACAGTCAGTAGTACGTAGATAGAATATTTAATATGATTTTCAGGGTTGTTTTATTTGTCTTTTCGTTCGAGATTACTTTGTACAACATACCGATATTATTGTCTATATCAAATAGAAAAAATTATATCCTAGGATTTTCTATTTTTAATTCAAGACTAGCTAGAGCTTTAGATTTTCTTTTTTTTTTAGCTTTAGATTTTTCAGTACAACATAGTACTGTCAAAAAGTGAATTAAGTGAATATTATTAGTGGAACAATACAAATTATATAGATAATAATGTAGTTAAAAGATAAAGACACTATTTAAGATGAATATTTTTTCATCAAAGATTCATCTGTAATCGGAAAAAAATGTGGCGACGGTGGTTTCGACGTTGGTAAAAATGAGACAATGACATTGATCCCATATCCGGCGAAATAAAAGCGTGCACATTTTTTGATGATTAACTATTTCGATTCATCCTTTGTATGTCAATAAACATAATTAAAATATGTCAAAAGTTTTTTTTTGTGTGTATCGTCTTAATTAAATTAGTATATCATATGAATATGTATTTTGTAGCAACAAATATATTAGAAATATAGCTAGTTTAATACGATATATTATGGTATATCAACAAATTAGTTAACACAAGTTATAGAGGAAGCAAAACGACTTTTCCACTTTCGTCATGAGGGTGTATCCATCCTTTTCCAAGGAAGAAACTTTAGTTAAAATGATTTGGTATGATCCGATAAACCACAATTCATACATCTAGGAAGCAGAATTGTACCTGAAAATTAGACATCTAATTAAATATAATTACGTGGAAAAACTTTCCTACGATTTATGCGTCGTCTTTTATATTCACTAAAATTTAATTATGTTCTTCTGTAAAAATGAAGAATAATTAAACTCATGTTCTTAAAGGACTTGCAAGAATCTTTTGGTTACAAAATGATTACAATGGAACCGAGAGATCAAAGCGTGGTTTAGCTCTAATATACATGAATTTTCCTTCTATTACTAGATAAAAGCTGACCCGATTCCATCTTCCAAAATATTTATCAATTTATATCAACATGAAAAGTATGAATATATATAAAACTCTTTGCGTGTTGACTTGACATTTTATATATTGCCAATTTGCCATCATCTGATCATGTCTCAGTTCAGCTTGAAAATAACAAAGATAACTCAGCCTTATTGGCAATTTGCCATATAACTACAATTTTTCCATAATATATAAAAAAACAACATCTATCACATATATAAGCCATATATATAGTATCTAATTGGTCATTCCTTTATTCTGGAACTGTATTTTTTTTTTTTTGTAGTTAGGCACTTACTGTCTTTAAAATTTTAAAAGTTCAGATTTTAGAAAACAATATAGATTAAAAGACCAACGAAATTAAGGTTGTGAGAATAGTGGGATCCATTCAAAGATCTTAAGAAACTGATGATTTTAGAATTGTTGTAAAATTTATAGGAAAAAAAAAGTTAATGAAAGTACCCGCCGTACATGACATCCATATTATGGTTAAATGATAATTATGATAAGTATGAATATATAAAATAAATGTTAATCTTAACTACATATAAATGTTAATTTTGATAAGTTTTTGTCCAAACTTAAAAATACACCATCTAGACCAACTATTTAATAAGTTTTGACAAGCAAAAGTCTAATTTTGTAATTTTGGATTGATTTATGATTTATCTTAATCGTTAGGATTAAACTGAAATCTATTGATGCGTGAAGCGATGTTGCTGTAATGTGAACCAATTCAACTATACTATAGCCACGATTGGGCAAACTATATTTATATATATTATTGACTGACTGCATTTAAGAGCAACCTTAATGGTAGGCTCTTAATTTTGTCTCTTAACTATTATTATGAATTGTTTTATTGAAAAAAATTATAGCTAAAAGCTTTTGTAATGGTTTGAAGCTCTTAAACCTTCTTTTATCTCTTAGCTAAGGAACTCTTCTAAACTATTCACATATTATTTTGATTATATTATACCTAAGATTTATAGTAAGAGACTTGCAATAAGAATGATCTAAGTATGTTATTGGCGGCTAATATCATGGAATTTTTTGCCTATTAAAAAAGGGACCAATAATTTGGCATCTCTGACTTTTCCTAAAACCTCGGCGTGGTTCTTGTACAACATGCCATGATTTGGTTTTATGATTACAATATATCTAGATATTTATCTTTTGTCAAATTTTTAGTACATTCTATTATTTTTCCAACCAACAATTCTGGATTAATAAATTATTTTTTCTTTGTTCCTATTCCATTTCCTATATATTATTTGAGAAATATTTTAAATAAAAGGTTCTGGTGTGTTGCAACCATATATTGATTCTCAGAGTTTTCTTTTAAAAAAAATTATTTGTATGATAATACGAGATTATCACTATATAAATGTTGAGGCTAAAACTATAGCTTCGTTTAGTTAAACATTATTAATCATCTTTGTTTGATCATTGATTCATGCTTCCCTTAGTTAAACCCTGTATCCAATCTCTTCTCCTAAAGCTTATTCGTTTTACAGCTTTATTTTGTTTGAATTAGTAGTCTGATTGCTTTCTTTTAATATCGCTTGTCTATTGCATAATACAGTCATTCATTTTGTTTTCTCTTATAAATGATTTTAAAAACAAAATTTATTATGCTCTATACTAGTTCAAATCCAGCATCTACATTCTCCAATCTCTCATCCAATTTTTTTTCCTTGTGCCACTTTTATCCCGTGGATTGATCCTATTTGTATTACGGCACACTTGCGGATTTTGAAACTCGAGATACCAATCACAAAAGGGAGTGTTAAATGAAAACAAAACGATAAGTGAAAATAGATTTTTGAATGTTAAATGCAAACTCAAACACAAATGCATATGTAAAGAAAAATACTAACGTAAGTGCAAAACCAAATGCATACGTAAGTTTCAAATGCAAAACCAAACCCGGATTATATATGCACGGAGAACCTAACACTTCCCCAGTCCGTCTCGTTAGAAATCGTTTCAGCTCCATTCGAAATCAAGGTGATCACACGTATAATGATGGTCTCATGCTATGGTTTGCTACCCACAATCCATAACCTTCCCCAGGACAAGTCTAAGACTCTAAACTTTTGCTTTTTTAACTCAAATGTTTCGGCTCTAAATACACATTTTTGTAAAAATTAACACTTTTATGGTTTGAATAAATTTTATATTTAATTCAAAAAAAAAACTCGGATTAAATAGGCAAGTACATATGTAAATGCAAGAGACTGTAAACACAAATACAAAAACTATCCAATATATAAACATAAATGTCAAAAACAACAAAATTGTAAACAATGTATAAAAATACAATTACAATTATGAATGTTAAATGAAACCATAAAAGTGAATGCTAAAAAACACTTTGTTAAAGTAATGTGAGCTAGCGCTTAATGAAAACACAATTGCAAGCATAATAAGCAAATATTAATGTAAATTTTATACGATAGCAATAATTTTAACGGTACATGTAAACACAACTGTGAATTACGCTTTATGGAATGACAAAAGTAAATGCAAATATATATGCTAAATGCTTACACAAACACAAAATCCAACTAAATACAAACTCAATATGAACCCAATGACGCCCCCAAAGGGCATGACAAACTCAAAAATTATCTTCTATAATTTTTCCAACCGTCAATTACTTTGTAAGAAAAGAGGAATTTGTCATGCCAATATTATATATATTTTGAAGCTTCTGATTTTAAAAATCAACGTTGGTAATTTAAAAAATTATAATCCTAACAATTATCTGTAATAGATTATAACTAGCCACCGTTTAAAAATATATTAAAAAGTCTCAATTTTTCAAACTCCCTTAAAACTTTAGAAGCATGGACATGTTACTGCATCTCACCAGTAAATGAAACACATTCTTGAGCTTCTTTTTTTTTCCCCTTAAAGTCCTTAATTTCTTTTTTTTTTAATCTTTTCTAAATGTTACATTGGGGCACTTGACTTGACAACAGCTTTGAGAAGAGTTTGAGTAAAATCATCCACACTACACAGCTTGTCTTTCCACTGAGGTGAAGCAATGGCTTCCATGGCAAATGAATCTAGGCACGATACCCTTGCTTGAGCCACACTCAACCCCATTTCTTCAAATGCTTCAAGAATGTTAACAATATTATTTTCTCCCTTTGGACTTTTTATTTTCACTTGAAACATTTCCCCAATCTTCTCTACCTTCACCACCTGCCAAAGTTAAAAAAGAGAATTATATTTATGCTGATATTTGAACTTAAGAGTGTCATGTGAACATCTCAATTAGAGTGCCACGTGAACATTTCAATTACCTCGTGCTTATATTCGAACTTAGAAGCTATGTAGAAAGCTAATTAAGTCCAAAAAGATATGAACCACTTTTTCTATGATCAAAGTTAGATTTGGTGTTGTTGTATGAAAGGATTCGATTCCATTTTGGTGAAAATAACTCCTCAATATTCCAAGGAAAATAACTTCTATGTAATGTACATAGAAGAGCTTCACCAATGATGAAAGAATTAGCTGAAAGGAGAAACCTGAAACTGATGTAAAGGTTCTTTTTTGATAATTTTCAAATCTTCATATTCTCTCTGCAAAGCTTCTATCTCGAGTTTGAGCATGGTTATGTATAGAAGAACCTCCTTAATCACCATACTATGTTCATGGATACTCTGCATAACAACTCATTGGCTGTAAAATCTTAAATTCACACACAAATATATAATAGCATGAAATATGAGGAGCGAAAGCAGTAGAATCGTCAAGGGATATGAACACAAATATACATATATATGTTTTACATACAAGTTTAAAGTGGGTGAGATTTGTAAGAAAATGAGGTTTCCCATGGCCTGCCCTCTTCTTTTGTTCACTAGCCACCATCACTTTATCAATGTTTTGAACTCTTTGAGACAACTATTATTATTGTTTAAACTTTAATGGGTGTATCTTGGGATCTATATATATACACACATTTCTTGTCGTGTAGCACCAAACATACATCTTGGTGATAAACTGGTAGCTTATTAAAACATCATAAACCAAATAAGATTAGAAACAGTAAAATATAATTAAAATATGTATGGTAGTTGAAGAAATATATTTTCTACATATCGTAGATTTGACCTGTGAAGTATTTGATTTAAGATTAGTTGTTTATTGAACAATTAGCAATTGTGAAAGGTTAACCATATGGTTTCAAAATGCACAGACTAGAGATTATTTTGAAACTACAAGTTAAAAGCCTGAGATTGTATATCTTCTTTTTCTTCTTTTTAATGTATATTAAATTATATTTAAAAAGTAATGTTTTTACAACTAGTACAACGATTGTTTGATTAAATTAAACACTAAGCTTTGATTATATATCTTTACACATGCTACAGTATTTATGTAGGTTTAGTTATATATCTCTTTTTAAAAATCTAGAAGAGATTTAATTTCGTGATTTTAATATTTGATTTACGTTTCCAATTCAAAAATATAGTAACTAAGCATCATCACAATCTCTTTTTCCGACGGTAGTTAATTTATTATCAAATTAGGTATGTTACATGTATTGAACACTAAATCTTTTTTTTTTTTGATATAGAAGAAAAACAAATATAAATTTCTATTTTTACCAATATCCTGATTATTTAATCATAATTTATTGTTCATAATTTAAAAATCTTGCCCATCTTTTAGTACGCGGAAAATCAATAGATTTATATAATTTGAACATTATATATATATATATATATATATATATATAAATGAAAAATTCTCAGTTCGAGTCCTACCTCCACTCTCAATTACATTCTATCAAAATTTCAAAATAAATAAATAAATGAAAAATACATAGAGAGAGTTGAAGCATCCATCGACGAACGCGAAAGGAGAATAAAACAACGGCAAAATTCCAGTTGTCAGAGACAGATACCTATGAATTAGCCATAAGAATCGATATCCTACCGACACATACATAGCATTAGCAGCGAATACAAAATGTGTATTAGCTAAATATTAATAAATGTATATTATAAGAGAAGATCTGTCGAGGGAAGAGAGATAAGAGGAGTCACGGGTTGTTTCTTTACGTTTGTCTCGCTTCGAAAGGTACGTAAGAAAGCAGACTAAGTGGTAAGCATGAGGCTGCTTTGTTTCACATGCTTCGTTTGTACCATTTCCTCTGTTTTATTCTCTGTCCTTTTCTTTCCTAATATAAGCAACCGTGAGATAGTAACGTATAAATTATCACACAACAATGTATTTCAGTATGTCTTTTTTTCCACAATTATAGAATTATCTCTTATTTAATAATACCCTTTACTTAATTGGTGTTTTCGAATTTCTTAAACGAAGTTGACGAAAAAAATATATATTTAATTTTGTTGGTTTTAAATCAATTAATTTATAGTTAAAAAATCTTTTCTGTGCATATATAGACATATAGTACACATGCAACAGGCGAATAGTATTTTCCATTTGGATTATTTGTAAATTTATAATCAAACCAAATGGTTATAGTAGTTTAGTGTTTTTTTTTTTCTCGAAATTAAGAAGAGGTAAAATCAGGTCTAAATGTGTGTATGTGTATTTCAAGTAATTGTACATGCGAAATCAGGCTCTAGTCCATTCTATAGCAAACTAAAATTGTATTAAAACTTAAAAGTGTATTTTGGTTTGATGAACCTTATCTCCAACGTAACCACGCTGTGCAGTTATAAAAGACTAACACTATTCAGATTCAGATTGACCGTGGATTTTGTAGGTTGATCAGATTTTTGAACTTATAAGGTAATAATCACAACTCACGTTTTACAGCCGTATATGCGTATCCTTGGCATATGCAGACGTTGAGCCGTTATAAACATACCTTTATTTCACACATTTTTCAATTCTAACATTATTCTGATTATTTTGTTACTGGTTAATATCAATAAGTTACATGTATATATTGATCTTATTAAATAAATAAAAAGTTACAGTGGTGTTTTACACTACTTCTAATGAAGGTATTGTTAGTGAAAGAGGCTGGTATAGTTATTCTCCAACAGTAATTAGTACAAGAGGAGAATCTTAAAAAGTGTGTGTGCAATTGGTCTATAACGCTATATGATGACTTAGTATCAAAACTGAAACCTAATTAACGTAGAGAAAATAAACTTAGCTAGAAATTAAAGTATGACAACTAGGGTTCAAGCTTCAAGGTCTGCCAATTAAAGAGTATTATTCTGATTTTGCTCCAGGAGACTTGATAAAAAAAATAAACACACACATTGCCACGGACACTAAATAGAATAGAAAAAAAAAATGATCAACCCCAAAGACGGAGAGTATACGACGAAGATCTATCACGAGACGTTTGGTGTTAAACTTGATATGTGGACAAATAGATAGATATGATAAGTGTTGAGTGTAAAGAGAAAGCTGAAGAGGTGACCAATAGACTAAACGACTTTTTTGGATACAAAACTACAAAAAACATGGAGATGTTAACATTAAGATGGCAGTCTTGTCTCAACACATCACTCGACATTTGTTTCTTTTTATGTCATCACAGTTTATCTAGTACTCTGTTATTTGTTTTGTACTCATTTAAAGTTCATAATATTAGATAATTAAATATTTTATTTTTGATGGAAACTGGTTGGAGAATATGAGTATCACATATATTCAAGATAAATGGAGTCTAATTACATTTTTTTAAGAAATAGTGGAGCCTAATGGTTTGTTTATGTTTTTCTTGTCATTTGTGATGATTATTAGAAATTAAAAATTATGATATGAACTCGAACACGCAAATAAAAAATCGATGCTAATTTAACTTGACTTACTTAATACAATATGTTAATAAATCCATAAATACTCAGAACATTTGTCATTATGATACAAAATATCCTAATATACAGAAAACCAAATCAATCGAAAATACACAAATATGTTTTGTACAAAGTGTCGAAAAACCAATGAAAATTAAAAATATTTATTGGTGATACACCACATATGTAAATATCCAAATACATTTAATTTTCTCGATATCCACATTTAAGTATATCCGTGAACTTTTAGATCTGGTACAAAATGGATTACTTGAGAGTTGGGATCGGATAATAGATACATACAGAATTTACCATTTATATCTACGTATATTTTTCAAATAAAAGGACACTCTGAAAAGGAAATAAACGACTAAATAATCACTATCAGGTGAAAGAAAAGTGGGTTACTGATTTCTTCACCAAATTTTAGTGTAAAAACTACACTAATAAATATATTGTTATTTCAACATCAAAAATGTGTTATGGTTGAAAATGTCTTAATAGGCTAATACTAATATTTCAAGTCGGAATGTTAAATCTCTGGGGAATGGAGAAAGGAACAATTAATCAATATTAATTTTTCTTAGTATATTTATCAAAAAAAATTTGATTAACTATACAATATGACTAACTAAGAAAAAATTATTTGTTCACTTTATGTTAAACTAAATAATGCACATTAAATAAAGATATTGAAAAACAATATATATATATATATATATATATATATATATATGTTGGTACATGAATTAGCACCTCCGATAATACCGACTTAAAACGTAGGAATTACGAATAAAACTGAGATTTCAGTTAAATCGGAGTATTCCGGTTTAGCCTGTTAATGGGCTAAAGAAGGAAGATCGCCTGGCGATCTTAACTTAAAAGAAGGGAGATTGCCTAAACCGACTTCCCTACTTTAGGAAAAGGATGTTCTCCTAAAAAGAAAAGGAGAATCGCGAAAAAAAAAGAAAAAACAGAAGATTTCGAGCCCCAAAAAGAAAGATGTTTAACTTATCTTTAAACTGTCCTAGTCTTGTATAGATAGGGGGTCTGTCCCTTATTCAAGGGATCCGCAATTTTACACATAAACCCTAGTTTTCCCGATTTTTCTTGAGCTAAACCCTAACGTTGTCTCTAAGCAATCAAATTCACCCTTCTATTCGAATTTTTGATCATAATTAGCGAGAGAGTTAATTGAATTTGTTTTCATCCTTTAAACAAATTCATTGTTTGATTTTCTTAATCAATAATATATATACACAAAAACTACAAACCTTTAATTTGTGTTTTTGTGCTGCATGGTTCCTTACTCCCTGATCCTTTCCAGTGATAAGTAGAATCTTTCGCGTGATTTTTCCTTGTCTGTTTCTATTTCTCCTTTTTAAAAACTGTTCTTGTTGTATATGGGTTTTAAAAATTCAATAATCATCTTCATGTTAACCATGGATTTAACAAGTATGTGTAGGCAACATCAATGTTGTAGTTTTTTTTCTCTCTTCATAATTTGGTTATCATTTTGGTCCGGGTTGAACTAAACCAAAGTTTATATGAACCAAGCTAAATCATCAAAATCAAACAAATTGAATTAAACAAAACTCAGAAGAAAAAAAAGAAGTGTTTTCAGCTTTCACATACCTTACTTAGGATATGAACATCGTCCAATATCAAGAGCCAATTAATCCTTTGTATTTCCACAGATTCTGTTTAGTTTTATTCTTTTATGATTAATCATATCAATATATTGGTGCAGAAGAATTACCGGGCAAATCTCCTTTGGCAGAGAACTCACTTAAAAGCAATGCATAAAGAGATGCAAAGATCTAAGTAATGGTTTCCTGCCAATAGAGATCTTACCCTGTAATACATTTCCACCTTTGATCCATCTCACATGTTCACAATTAATTGTAACCTGCAGATTTGATAGATGTTTGTATTTATATAAACTTGGAAAGAAGCATATTCCACGGTACAATGCTACTGCATTGTAAATAAGACTGATGTTTTATTCCGACAATGATCTCTTCTTCGTATATAATTTCTTAGGAATAATCTTTCATGCCACAAGTTTTATGGTCAGACATATTCCTAAATAAAGAGCAGTCTACCACCTTTTTTTTTTTTTCACAATATTCAAATCCTTCGTAATTAAGTAAAAGGATCGTACATGTATTATTTCAATTCACAAAATTTAATCTCTAGTCTTAACATCAGAAGTCAATAATGCATATGACTGTTACATGTAGTATGTTCTAGACCTCGTAGATAAAGCCCTTTTTTTTTCAATTCTATTTAATACACTATATTTTCTAAGGTCAAGCCCTTTC